AGGTACATGATATATATATATATATATATATATATATATATATATATATATATATATATATATATATATATAATGCATGTTTCGTTGAATAATATAGCATTTTTGTATTAAAACTGAAACACGAAAGAAAATTTATTGTTAATCCTGTCTAAGCCTTCGGCTTCCATATGCCATCATCAGAGATTACAAGCACATAAATTAAATAAGTAAATTAAATAATAGTTTATATAACAAATATTGTAATTTTTGTTTTAGATTGGTTATGGGGCATTTCAGTGATAATACTAAAAGTTTATTCGACAATATAAAAGGAAATTACTTAAAATGAATAGACAAATATTTTCTATATTATTTAACGAAACATGAATTAATGAAAAAATGCTGCCTAAATACACACAATACATACATACATACATATATATATATATATATATATATATATATATATATATATATATATATATATATATATATATATATATATACAGCAATATTGCCTAATCGTGTAACAGCAAAATTGTCGAATAGGTAGATTAGGCGTTGAAACCATGTATCTTAAAAATGCTTAAAGATAACTTACTGGAATTCTCAGAGGTTTTCTTAACATTGTTCCTTATTTTGAGCAATATGAATGTATAATTACTCTCTAAGTTTAACAGAAGAATCGTGATGAAATCGATATTAAACGAAAAGGAAAATTAATCATATCTAAGGAACAGGAGCTCATGAAGGATTGATATAAAGTTTATACATACATATATATATATATATATATATATATATATATATATATAAAAGTATATAATTGGTATACACGGAATGAATTCCAATAACCAACAATTACTATTCTTAAAAGAGTGCTCAATACAAAGTAGTGATTAAATTTGGATTTTTAAAAATTGCCAGTTTTTAATTTTAATATTAAATTTTATCATATAAATTTATAATTATTAGTTAGTAAAAATTATTTTTAATATTACACGTATTTAAAGATCGAAATAGCTATAATAGCAGGATTTTGTTGTCAAGCTTTTGAATCTTTCTGTACTTCGTTTTTGATTGGTTATTCTAGCTTTTGTAACAATGCCCCCCCTAGTGTAGGATCGTTAATTCATCTGAAACTTTTAAAACCATTTATTTTATTTTCAACACCATCACTTGATAAGACACAGAGTGTGTTGAAACAAAATGGCTATTTTTGTAGTGATTTTATAACATACTTATGTTATAAATTTTTTTATAAAAAATTATATATATATATATATATATATATATATATATATATATATATATATATATATATATATATATATATATTCCAGGAGAATTTTCTAACTTATTAAAAATGTTCTTCACCCTCTAACCTTCTGTCCTGAATTAACAAGGTGCCTCGGAAGTTTCATACGATTTCATTTTTAAGTCTTTTTTCATTGCTTTTTGGACTGTCATCGCTGAAACTCCTCTCTCGCGTGCCAAACGTCTTATGGTTTGAGTTGGATCTTTTCTAATTGATCTCTTTAGCTCTAAGTTTATATGATGATACCTTTCTTGTTGTGACATCTTGATCCAGTTTTCCTCTCTACTGTTCCCTCTTTTGTAAACTTATTCGTCGTTCTCTTGATGCTTCTTGAATGGACTTTGAAGACTGTCGTCAGATTATGAATATTAGTACCATTACTACAGGCCTGAATGCTCTTTTTCCTCTCACCATTGTTTAGTTGGAAAAGTATAGTGTTGTTTACACAAAACGATTTTAACATGTTCTTTCATAACTTTTCAGTGATTCTTACGATAAATGGTGTCAAGATGGCTAAATGCCTTCTCTGAAAACCTGACAAAGTTAAACTCAGTTGCTTTAGTGGTTTTTAGATATTAAACATTTTGTGGGATGGACAATTGTGCTGTTACACCTGCAATATATATATATATATATATATATATATATATATATATATATATATATATATATAAGATTATTCAATAAAGTATATGCCCCCGTTTGTCTTTTTTTTTATTATTTTATTTTATTTATTTATTTTTTTTTTGTAACGTGTTTATGATTATTTTGGGTTTTAGGAATAAATACTGTTCCATAATTTTCCTTTTCAGTAGGCAGTACCCTGAAGATCCGTTTAGGTGAAAGCTAGGAATTTTTGCCTGGCTCTTTAGGATTATCTTACCTTTGGTTTGTTCTACTTTGTGTATTGAGCACTTTACGTAGTTGTCTTTTTACTCATTTTGTTTTTGTTATTTCTTTGGACTTGAAGCTTGAACATTGGACGATTGTTTTCGCCTTGTTTTAATGTTCTTGGTTCTTTTCTTTTTTTTTCCCCACTTTTCCTAGGGTACCGATTTGTTTTACTGCAAGTCGAGCCATCCGAGGTTTTTTCCAAACGAGTACCACCATTCATATATATATATATATATATATATATATATATATATATATAGGTTCTAGAGTCCTTGTTTATCAGATCCCGTGAGCCTTCCCTTTGTAAACAGAGGGAACGCTTGCTGGATCTGATTATTATTGGACTCTAGTTTCTTGAAATTCATAATTCTCCCCCCCGCCCGATTAATTTACACGCTTTTTTTTAAATTCCAAGAATAAATAAACTTGATAAGTCCTAGGACGAAACCGGTTGTTTTTATTTTAGCTTTTTGCTTTATAAATGCCTTAAAAATATTGTCTTTTCCTATCTATTATTAAATTCTGTACCACGAATAACTTATATATATATATATATATATATATATATATATATATAAATTAAATCAATCAATATATGAAAAAAAAATATTACTCTCGATAAAGAAACGTAAACAAGACATTGTTCCTAATTTTTTTCTTGTTTAAATTAATTTAATTTCCCTCTTTTCTCATTAGTACGTTAATTATTTAATGATATTTTTCCGCGTTCCGTCATTTTAGTTTCCTGTCCTGGACATAATTTGATTGCAACCGTGGCAATCTCTATTGTTCTGTGAGATCGGTCATATCGATTACCTTTCTTTGGTTTCTAGGAAAAAAAACGTTGACGCTAGTTTTGAAAGCTCTGCTATCAACAATAAATTGGCCCACAACAAGGACGGACCCGAAAATTAAAATTTGTAAAAATTAGCGTGTATTTCATAGGATATATGAAGGAAAAAATACATAAATGGTAATAGAAAGATCCTTTAGGTTTTTCGGAAAGCAATGATACATTTGTTTTTTGGGGGTTTTTTGGGATTTTTCTTTCAAGGAGGGATTAAAAGCCTTTTAAAATAACTTTGAAACTTTAAAGGTATTTCCCGGTAACGTCACGCCAATAATCTAACCTTTTTTATTCCCTGTATCTCTTCGGGGCTTGGGAAACATAACTCTCTACATCTTCCTATCTTTTGTTAGTCTAAGTAACTTCGACAATAATTGCAAGAGAGTTCTAGAAAGTTCAAAATGCAGCTCTGCATATGCGGTCAAATCTAAAGTCGAAAGCAAACGACTTGGATCCCGTGCGGTCTGGAAATTCTCTAACCAAATTCTTAATAGAAGCAATAGGTCCATGTCTACTATCATAAATAGCCCGGAGTTTATCTTATGCTCGTCAGATAACGCAAAGCTCTTCACAACGATCTTTGCCTCTAATTCAATGTTAGATGACGAGGGAAATCCCACTCCGAATTTCTCCGGTCCCACAAACTTAATATTATTTCTTTCACAACCCGAGAAGTGTCAAGACTTTTCAAAAGCGTTGACCATTAGAAAACTACCGGCTCAGATAAAATCTCAGGTGTTTGAATTTAAAAATATTAGTCGCGTATTTTCTGACATCTTTGAAACATTGTATAACCGCTTCCTGAAGGATAAATCCTACCCATGAAGGTGTCAAGTGTATGCGTTGTTTTCAAGAATGCCGGTTAGCATTAATTTCCGTCTCAGTATCCTCTCATCACCATTTTTAGTGTCATCAGCAATAAAAAATAAGAAAGTTTTTGATCACATCAACAAGGTATACTTCCAGGGCCACAAGCAATACGGATTTCTATATGTTAGTGCTATTGCTGATATCATAACTCTCCTAAATTCTATTTGTATATTTTTGTTTGAAATGTATTGTGTCATCTCAGTTGCACTGTCAGCAAAGATGGCTGTGTCATTGCTTTAACAATGGCAAACTATGAAATTTCTGTGACATAACGACATTGAGTTTATAAAATGGCTGCAAAATATAAAGTAAGTCTTGTAAATAATTTTCTTCACTAGAAGCAGATAAATTCGTATATTGCCAGGATCTCACATCTCGCCGGTCTTTTGGACAGGAGTAGAGGTTTATCCATTGTTGCCTGCTTAGGATTCGCTTTCAGCTTCCTTCTAAAATGTTCTCATTTTCTTTCAACCCCACTAGCGCAATGCGTCTTAGTAACATTATCGGCTTGGTAGGGATGAATTGATTAAAAATATATGTTTATAAAAGGATACCGTTATTTCAAAGAAATTGTTCATTCTTTACATTATTCATACGTACAATATGGCGTTGTTACAAAAAAAAACACTGCCACCTGGCGGTAACAGTGCAATCGAAATGACAAGATACAAGGTCGGATTTTGTTAACATACGAAGAATGGTTGTTTATAAATACAAGAGTCTACACGATTAAATTCAGTTAAGTGCCATGAAGGATAAACGCATAGGCGATCATGTATCTTTCGATACATGACTGACGAGGCAGATTTTTCCCGCAGTAGGTCGCCATTTCTTTCTACAGTAGACCAGTTGCCATCAAACGCTATAGAACCCAGTCTGCCCTGCTATTTACCCATAACTGCGGGGATAAGAAGAGGGATCATACCTTTTCCAAGGGTATTAGCACGTAAGGGAATGTAAAGGATTCGAGTGGAATTCGAACTCGGCTCTCCGATTCCTCAATCCGAGCCGCTATCCATTTCTACAAGTAAAGAGCGACAGGCAGACAGGTAGGCGGACAAAAGCGAGCAATTTCTTCAATTTTCCAAGGGCTTACGGTCATATCATGTTGCAATACCGGTTCCCGTACGATCTCCAAAGTTAAGCTACGTTGAGCCTGGTCATTACTTAGATGGGTAACCGCTTGGGAATGGCAGGTTCTGTAAGCTTCGATGTTCGGTTGGTGTAATCGATAATAACTCGAAATTGTTTATCGGATAGTGGAGTTCCAATTCCACTTGGGTTCGTTATACTTACTTATGCGTAAATACTATTCGAGCAAGTATGAATCCATCTCTTCTCCTCCAGCTATGGGTTAATTAGTAAGACTTTTATCACTAAACGCTCATCTACAATAATAAAAGATTAGATTTCAGCATTAGATAACCCATGAACTTTGATATGTCTTTAAAGATTTTCAGGACGTTGGTATTCATAGTCCTCCATAATTTCCTCTCCTTTTTAGCTCTCATCAATACTTTTGAGTTAATTTCCTTGCCAGTTCCAGTTCGGCCATCGATTTAAACGAACTCGTTAAGTTACTGTCTGCTTCATCTGTCACTCTTCCCTTCAGTATGTCTTGTGAGCGTCAAATTCTCCAAGCTGTCTTTCCTCCTTATGAGTTCAGAAATGTCAAATCTTTCTGATTCTGGCTTCAAATAAAGGGCTGATAATTTATAGAAAATGAATGTATCAATTCAGTTTTCGCAGATGACTCAGTGTTTATTTCGCACTGTACGTTTACTAATGTTTTAATAATTTTCTCCGCGACACCATTATTTTGTTCAAGATTGATTCATCTTATCCTCTTATTTTATAAGTTGAAAAATTCCCACCGGCATGGATATTCTACACTGCACTTGTATTTGGTACAAAAGCGTATAAATAATGATTGATTTGTTTGTTTAACGGCATATCAACTCTTTATGGGTTACCTTTTCCCCATGTATAATAAGCATTTTTTTCTAAAAAAATAATAAGCAAAATCAGAAGTGCGTATTATGCAGAGCTACAAAAATTTTTTAAAATATTTGCCGTAAAATAAAGTAAGAATCATTATAAAATTAAATTCGAATTACATTATTCTATGTTTAAAACCATTTTTTTAAAAATAAGTGTAGGAAACGCTGGCCGTAATGAAATTGAAAAGGTACAATTTATAGGGTTTGATTACCAAACAAGAGGTGCGTATTATGCACGAGTAAAAGCATTTTCCCATGTTTCAGCACAATTTTAGGTGTGTGTATTATCAATGAAGGTGTATTATACATGGGGAATTACGGTATTTAATGCCGAAATTTAATTTTCTTGCGTAATTTGAAGTAATAAAAATATGATATATGTTAATATGCTTTCACATTTCAATACATGGTAGATGATTGGTTTGTTGTTTGACTTTGTTTAACGGTATATCAACACCTCTATGCCTGATTTAATGTCGAAATCTAAATATCTTGAACACAATTTTATGCTTTCAACTAAATATATTTTGAACGCAATTGTATGCCTTCAACAATAGAGAAAATATATTGTTGGTCCTTTTGCTATACAATATTGTTATATCTCGTTCAAGATATAATAAACAAAATAACCCTAGTGTTGGTTTTCAATAATAGGTTTATAATCGGATGTAGGTGTGTCAAGTACAGAGACAGAGTCGGGAGTATGCTAACCTCAATAGGGGTTAACAAACGAAGACTTCACGACTGTCCGCTGTGGTCGTACTTAATCGGCAACCAGTCCGTCCATTATCGTGAATGGGGAAGTTGGGTTATATCATCACAACACCTCCCCCCGAAGCTGAAATTCTCCCTTTTGAAAATTTCTGCCTCTAATGTCGTCTTCTTTTTGGATCCGGACTAAAACGCTCCACTGGTTTTCTTTCCCGTGTGCTCCTTCTTTTAGTCGTCACAATTAGATCCTTTTTTGGCGAAGATAATTTCCGCTTTTCAGCGTAAGGCTGGTCCATGAGATACAGGTTCATATACACTATTGGGTAGTGTCATGTTAAAAGCATCGCATAACACTTCCATCGGAATTTCTTCTTCGCTTTTTTCACTTTCTTCACCATATCGTGGTCTAATCTGATTGATGTGTCTTTTACACGTAATTTTTTTACTTTTAATCGTGTAGACCACTTTACCAATCTTTTTCTGGATTATGCCATCCATCCAATAGCTTTTTTCACTTTTAAAATTTAAAAAAAAAAACTTTGTCTCCTGAAGTGTATTTTTTTATGTTGACTTTTTCCTCTTTCTTAGCAACTTTTTTGTTTTGATAGGGTAACAATCTATCGAAAATTGATCTAATTTTCCTTGCGAACATAATTTCCGCCGCTGACATTTTCGCATCGTTGTTCTCATTAGGAGTTACCCTATAGATTGCTAAGAACTTCTGAATAGTTCTTTCTTCCGTGTCCATACCTTTATTTTTACGTAAAGCACGTTTAATAGTGTCAACAAATTTCTCGGCTTGACCGTTCGACCTGGAATGACACACTGGTGTAGTTATGTGTTCAATGTCTAAGGCAGTACAGAAATCCTTAAACTCCATACTTGTGAACGCCGTACCATTGTCGCTAACTAATGTCCTGGGAACCCCGAAACGACTGAAAATTTCATCCAATGCACTGATGGTGTTCCTAGATGTAGGATGCTTGCACTTGACTACCTCAGGCCAACAATATCAAATAATAGTACCCATTAATTGGTCCAACATAGTCTATATGTAGACGTGCCCACGGCAAATCCGTTTTCGGCCAAGGATTCATTTTGACCGGAGGTGCCCTTGCAGCCAATTGACAACCTCTACATAGTCTTACAAAACCTTCAATATCCTTGTCGATTCCTGGCCAGTATACGTAACCACTCATGAATGATTTCATCCGAGACATTCCAGGATGACCGGTATGAAATTCTTTCAGCATATCTGTACGTAGAGATTGAGGTATAACAATTCTATCTGCGTACATCAATGTGTTGTCGCAAATTGAAAAAGGTGAAATCTGAGTTCCCTTTTTCTGTCTTTTTGTTCCATCTCGTCTGGTTCCTTAATTTCACAATATAGTGATCTTTTTCCGCTCCTTTTTTATATGGTCCAAAGTTACCGGCAATTCCCTGATTGTATTCAACAAGAGACCTGATATTTCTTTTTTCCTCAGTTAATGCTGCTATAACCGTCTCTTCTAAAATTTCTTCATTTTTTTTTGAATCAGCCTTGACAGTCCATCTGCATGCCCATGTTCTTTAGATTTGACGTATTCCATCCTAAAATGGTAATTAAGCAGGGTTACACCCCATCGCTGTAAGCGATTAGCTGTATGCGTAGGAATGCCTTTTTTACCTCCAAATATTGTAAGTAACGGTTTATGGTCCGTTTGAAGTACAAATGATCTACCATGTAAAAAGCGATAGTATTTTTTAACCCCGAACACAATCGACAAAGCCTCTTTCTCGATCTGGCTATAATTTTTTTCAGCCGGAAGAAGAGTCCTCGACGCGTGCGCGATCGGTTTAGTAGTGCCATCTTCATATTTGTGTAGCAGTGCAGCACCCACTCCGTACAAACTTGCGTCAGTTGCCAGAATGATCTCTTTCTCAGGATCAAAATGTGCTAAGGCGAGATCTGAGAGTAGGCATTTTTTTATTTTCTGAAAAGCCGTCTCGCAATCTTTTGACCAAAACCATTTCTTGTCTTTTTTCAACAATTCGTTAAGGGGGGCTCTTAAATCATACATTTTAGGTATGTAGATTGCATAATATTGTGCCAACCCCAGAAACGATTGTAGTTTCGCAACTGTGTCGGGTGCAGGCATGTTCTTAATTGCATCGGCTCTCTGTGGGTCCGGTTTCCTGCCTTATCTGTCCGAGGTATGTAATTCTTTCCATGAAGAATTTACACTTCTCGTGGCTTAATTTAAAGACAAAATCTACTAGTCTTTTGAATATCGCTCTGATGTGCGTTTTATGTTCTTGAACATTCTTAATTTTGACTAGAATGTCATCTAAATAGGCGGTACCAAACTCAAGTCTGCCAGCATAGTGTCCATCACCTGTTGGAACAAAGCTGGGTCGACCTTTAAGCTGAAAAGAAGCCTATTTAGCTTATAAATACCTTTATCTGTATTTATACACAAATATTTTGAGCATTCGTCACTCACTTTAATCTGCAAGTATGCGTCAGACAGGTCGATTTTTGAAAAAATCTTACCACCATTCAACTTTGAAAAAATATCTTCTGGTGAAGGTAGTGGATAACTGTGATTTTTAAGGCAATCATTTAACCCTGTTGAAAAATCTGCGCACACTCTTATTTTTCCGTTTTTCTTCTTAACATAAACTGTGGGCGAGGCCCAATCCGCATGGTCAACCTTAGATATCACTCCCATTTTTTCAAGCCTTTCCAATTCCTTATTAATTGTGTCTAAGGAGGAAAAAGGAACGTTCCTCTTAGGTTTAAAAATTGGTTTCACATTTTCCTTGAGTTCAAATTTGACTTCCGTCTTAGTACATAAACACAATCCCTCAGAAAAACTCTGGGATATTCTTCTTTTTAATTCATTCATGAATTTTCATTTTAATACTTTTTTGTTTTTCTGCACTGTTTATTACGTTGCAAAATGAGTTAATCGGGAGTTCAAACAAATCAAAGAGTACTATCCAGTCTACTCCAAAAAGACATGAATTAATCCTTGGATTACATACACTTTCGTTTTTGAAGTCTTGCCACATAACGAAATATCGCACTTTAATTCTCCCTTAAAGTTTAATTTCTTTCCTGAAACCCCTCTAGCGGTTTTTTTTTGTTTCAGATAATTTAGGTCTTCCAATATTTTTCCATGTTTGTTCATCAATGATGCTTATGTCTGAACCAGAATCCAATATGAAAGTAATTGTATGATTATTTATACGTACATCTACGTACTTTCTATTTTTACCGTTCTGAATTTCTTTTTCTGATAATACCAGGCTTACATCTTGTAATTTCCTTTTCTTGCGGCAAACCGAATATTTATGCCCTTTATTTCCGCACGATTGGCAGAATTTATTTTATACCAACACACGTCTTTGGTATGATTTTTTATTTCCGCACGATTGGCAGAATTTATTTTTGTACCAACACGTGTTTTTTGGTATGGTTATTTTTTCCACACGTCTCACATTTTTCTA